ATTCGTCGTGTATTTTCAGGTAATGATAGAGGGGCCACACCCACTAAGCGACGGAAAGCAACTGAGTCATCCATAATGGATTGTCTCACAGAGAAAAGTGAGAGGGAATCAAAACAAAAGGAGATAAAAATTAATCGATCGCGTCCATGAAAGGACCATGTTGAACATACGCCTGCGAGAAAAAGAACTCGGGGTTCGAGAACATAAGAATGCATTTAAAGAGGCACATTATAAGGCGTGATTGTGAAGTGAACAAACATTTAATGACTAGATACATATTTAAATAAACCTATAACACACCATACATTAGACATAGTTATTATATATGCTACAATGCCCGGCAGCAAGATTGTCCATTTCTAAACAAGAGCAATGTTCATCAGTAACCTGTTTTTCTGAACCCGTTTTGACACATCTTTCCTGAAAATACTGACCCCAAAACTGAACAATCGCCCTCTCTTGCACTGTACGCCAAAAAACAAGGAACTGGTGAGAGCAATAATTGTCCAGTTACACTGTAGTTTGTGCCGAAGCTGTCCATGTATTCCTTAAAAAAAACCTTCCACTGCCAGTGGTTACTGTATTAAAACCTCCAAAGAACATTAACTGCTTGCTAAAAAGCGGCGACAGAGGTCTGTCCAAAGAGTGCGATGTCATGGTTTGGATGATTTCCAAAGGTGTTTTTAAGTTTTCTTACCTGAAATTTTGATGATTCAACACTGGCAGTGAAAGGGTTAATAAAAGACTTAGCAATGAATGTCAGTCCTTCCAGTTTTAGGGTTTGCAAGCTATATTTTTTACACTGTATAAAATGTTACTAATTTGTGTAGGGAGTAAAACTGCCATTAGGGATGCTGCACCACAAATGCCTCGACAATTAGTTAAATCAAGATGTAAAGATGAATATAAGAGTTTTCTTTAATCAAAAGTTAATACAAAATATATGATAATGACGATGTAATCTAAATTTGACATTGGTGTAGGATGATGAATAAGGTTGTCTAACGATTAACTGAAAATATAAATTCTGTCAAAATAACATAAAGTTTCAGCTAATAAACTACCATTGATAAATAATGTACTTAAAAACTAACACTGCCACTGGTATGTAATAAACTTTTCAAGACAAAGGGGCAGGGTTCAAAATGCAAAAGACAAGGGGATATTTGCTATAAAGGCTTACTTAGCACAAGGCCAGCATTTAAAAATAATATACAATTAATATAATTACATACAACATTCAACTGTTGATAGGACTCGCATAGTTCAAAAGGCTATGAAAGGGAGACAACTAGCTTTAAGTGATTAATGTAAACAAATGTCAGAAATAGTTCGCACTTCACACAGCCACTTGCGCTTAAAGGGTCACATGCATCCATATGCAGTGAGAACTGTACCCGACATACATGTAGTGCTCTGCTGGTGAGACACGAAGGAAATTAATTCAATTGCCTAGCCCAAGGCATGTTTCTTGCATGACAGCTCACACCCCTAAATGTGGGAGACACCGCCTTTTAACACTTTCCCTTCCAAATGACGTTCTTAGACGTCACACACTACCATTGGTATTTTGGAGCAGTTCTCAAAATGACTTTTCAGGGTGATAACTTTCTTAGAAGTTTTTCTCTTTTGAATTGGAAAAAAGGGGTCCAAATGCCTTAAAATTGGTCGGTTGCAGCAGATTTCTGAAAAAGGCGTGACAAGGGAAGCGTTAAAAATTTTCAACACTAAACCAACCCCAATCATCACAGGCGAGAAATCACTTCATTATTAGAGATTTATTATGGAAACCTCAGGCAGTTTTTAATGAGGGGATGAAAGTCACATTTTCTCAATTTTCCTGAAAATTTTGGCGGGTTAGATTTGATATACCCTACCCCAACTGAGAAAACACTGATTTTTAATTCTAAATCGGCCTTGCTTTTGGTGATAGAGGTCTTTTAAGGGCAGTGGTAGGCTAAAATGACAAAGGAGGAAAACGTGCTCGAATTTGACCCGATTTTAAGATTTTTAGCATGGAATTATGTTCGCACCGAATATTATAGGGGGCCATTCAATACAGCCTTTAAATTTTATTTTTTTATCATACCCGACCTAATATGTATTTTTTGGTTAGGTATCAATCAATTCTACCTAAACGTTTCAACAATAATATATATTTATGTTACCATGGTAACGTCGGGTTTGGGGAGCTTAACACTTGTGGTGGGATGGTCATGGATTTTTCATTATTCTGTGAAATACTCTTCTGATGTAGGTGGCACCATCTAAAATTGAAGTTGTACTGCCATAAACAAGTGTGAGCATTGGTTAAAATTGCCCCAACCAGGTAGTACTTAGCCACAGGCTGTAAATAAAGATTAAGGGCTTTTTTGAAGTCTAGAAAAGCAAATTCGCGAAGGCGTTTTCCAAACCCCAACTACACCCACTGTCTGATCGAAGAAATTTTTTTGTTGAAAATCTGTTCCAAGTGGGGTCAAGTGTGCGCCACCGGAGGAACTGTACAAGGTAGGTCTAATGATATATGCTAGATCACCGTAAAGTCCCATTTAGGTATCATCTAAGTTTAGTTGTACCATTCCTGTGGTTAAAACAAATGAAAGGGGGAGTATAGGCAGGAGCTAGTCGGTCAAATTGGTGGACTCATTCAAGTGATTGGTATGCACAATTGGGGACTGGGTCACTTTGATTCAGCGATAAATACCTGTACAGTTGTATATTCTTGGTAGTGTGACGTGTGAACAGATTTAGCCTGCTGGCTGCAGAGAGACAGTGAACGTTTTAGGAGGGGGGGGGGTCTCTCCACCCCGAACAAAGGGGGTTACCGGTGTCCTCCCGCGGAAAATCTGAAAATTGGACGGCCACAAACGCGTTTTTCAACCAAGAAAATCATTTTCTAGCGAACTCTGAATAAGGAACATAGCGACAAGACACTCCAAGCCCCACGACAGTGGACCATTGGGCAAGTCAGTACAAAACGTATGGCATATATATGTCAGAACATAACCAATAATATGGTGCCACGTCCCCAAATCAATACTCCACATGATGATCCCTGACTTATGTTTATTACAAAAGAACTATGGCCGGGGTGTGGGTATGTGTGTGAATAATCTCGATGTTCTGTGAAATAGAAGAGACCTATCGGCGACTTCGAGTAACTAAATCTGACCCACCTAGCTTACGTTTTAAGCTGAGGAAGACACTAATAATGTATTGTTTTACTTTATTTCAATGTTTGTCTCTAAAAACTGTACTGTGTACGAGGGATGACCATTACCAAGTTTCCAACTGGGGAAAAGTCACTGGATTCAAGGCTTCTTCTGTTGAAGCATTCCAAACCTGAAACTTAACCGCATGCACTCTCTTATGGCCGTTGTACATCTTCTGGTTCCTTACTGGTCTACAGATTGGCCGCACAGTGCCATCGATAAAGCCAAAAATGTTGGCCATCTATCGTTATCACGATGAACTAACCATCGCGTAATGCGGATATTTCTGAACCATGAAAGTGCGTCACGTCTAGAAGAACGACGACGACTTCACCTAATTATCGATCTCGGAACACATCTCAACCTCTCTAATAACCCACCTATCAGTTCGTGACAATTTAAACATTTTGTTTGTATAGGTTGTCAGTAATGATAAATAAACATTTCTGGTCGATAAAGCGTTTGTAAAATATATAATTATTTTTATTATATATACAAGTGAGGGTATACATGTATTAACAATGTGTAAGTATGAAAGAGCTACTTATTGCTTTAAGTGAATAATTTAATATTACCATATTAACTACCTTGCTAACAGTTTTGTATTTAATATTTATGTATGTAAATGTGATAACTGTTATCTCTTAATGAGAGAGTCACCTTTGTTCGGTGAGAATGTTTCTGGGCTTATCAACCAGAAGAGTGAGTCATTGGATCGTTCTCGGTGCGGGCCAAGAAGGTTTTCGGGATTTTGCCCCTTAGTTCCCCTGTGGACAAGCATAAGACGAAACCCAGAAATACCGTGTATATCATTAGCAGCACGTTAACGATCATCAGACAGTTTTGAAATTGAAGACAAATTTCCCCGACGAGCATCCGTCTTTATTAGCCCGGTTGGCGGTGAAACGTAAGCCGTTAAACCCTATTTCTCGACGTGATGATTTGATACATGTTTAATAATACCACTGTAAATTCAGCAATTGGTGGGGTTTAATTTATGCTTGCGTAATTCTGCAATGAACACACTACTTCGCTTATATAAAATTACTGAGGGGCATTTAGGAATATCAAGAATACTTGGTATGGATGCAATTACTATGTTTATTACACTGCAACGTTTCAACAAGTTTTCAAATGAAGCTAATATACTTCGCTTATATGCTCATCACGCTTACTATTTTTTAGAACACCCAATGCCACTTTTCATTTGGGAAGTTCACATAGCTATGTTGCACTTCGTATTTGATGTAAAACATTGACTAAGAAGTTGTCCATTTCATTTCTGTGCGTAGTACTAGTAGGAATATTTTAATACGAATACCTATGCGTATATGAAATCATTTTTCAAGCAACATTTTCCATTTTTTTTCAGTTGGTGTTGTACTATTAACAAAACAATGCCTATTCGGAAGTTTAGTGTTCATGGTTCTAATAATTTTATTGCTCGAGTTTTTTGCCACGTTACAGTTTACAATGGTAACCACAGACGGAATTCGAAGCTCAACGACAAATATCAAAAATATATACTATAGTAACCATAATGGTAATATGGGCAGTTTTGAGACTAGCATTATCGATGATTTTTATACCAAGGACAAATATTTATGCAAAAATAAATATTACTTAACACACGCCCCAAACTGTTCGTTGTTAATTTCCGCAGATCAAAAAGAACAACGTCTTGCGCGCAGCTTTACTAGGGTATGCAAAAGAGATGGTCCATCAGCCGAAGACTACATAACGATGGCAAGTGACTGTACAACTTTTCTGAAGAGCAGAAAATACATCATGCATGCTACAGACGAGGAGTTCAATTTTCCTGTCGCATTCAGTATCCTTATGTATAAAGATGTAAACCAGGTTGAGCGGTTACTGAGAGCGATTTATAGACCCCACAATTACTACTGTATACACGTAGATAATTCAGCTGACCCTTCAGTTCGTAAAGCCATGATCAAGATAATCAACTGTTTACCAAATGCATACGAAGCTACTAAGTCGACCCGAGTGGTTTGGGGAAAATTTTCGGTGCTAGAACCAGAGTTGGTATGTATGAAAGATTTACTAAGATATGGCGACTGGAAATATTTTATTAACTTAACAGGCCAGGAATATCCCTTAAAAACTAATCTTCAAATTGTTAAAATTCTGAAATCTGTTCATGGTGCAAACAGTGTTGACGCTATTACTGAAAGGTAGGTTTCATTCCTTAATGTCGAAATATGTATAGACAAGTCCTTAAACTGTTAATATTATGTTCTATAGTAAAACAGTTGTATTTTTTCAGTACAGTAAACGTGGATTATAAAAAATAATTATACCTGATGTATGTACATAAATGTAGTCACAGTTAATGGAATACTTAATACAATGTATATTCATCTTTTATCACTATAGAAAATGGACAAAGCGATGGAAAATGGCGGGAAAACCACCACATGGCATAAAACCTGTAAAAGGGAACGTGCATGTTGTTATAAATAGAGACTTTGTTGATTTTGCAGTTAATGACAACCGATCTATTGATTTTATAGAATGGCTTAAAAAAACTAAAGTTCCGGATGAATTTTTCTTTAATTCATTGAATCATAATCCACATCTCGGTATTCCTGGATCTTTCAAAGGTATGTATCTTTATTGAACATCCCTGCTATAAATTATTCGCGAAGCTGGGGAGTGGAAGAGGGTGGGGTAGTCTGAACGGTGTCTGTGATTCTCCCAAAACGCCAAAAATAGGGATAATGATCGGGACTCCTTTATTTCTGCTATAAAAAATTAGAACTACCGGAAAATTCACAACGAAACGAAGAAATGCTGTGTGCTGATAATTCGAGAAGGCGTCTATTTTAAATGCCTTCTATTCATTAATTAGATTTCAAGATAATTTAAGACAGTTTTCTCCTAACTTAAATATGTCAGAATTGTTGCATACTTTGTAATGTAAACATGTCCGACTAAACTGCGTAGTCAAATTAAAAAATGTAAAAGGAACATTGCCGATCAGTGGGGATAGCCAAAGTTTCTTTTAATAAATCTAAGCTGATAAAATGATAAGTAAAAAAAAACCAAAACAACACACACGTTAATTTTGTGGTTAAGTTTTCAATTTCTGTCAGGTTTTTTTTCTACAAACATAAACTAAAAATATTTATAATAATAAAGACTGAATTTATAAAAATCATTAGAAATACGTTTGAAAGAAAACGGACATACTTTTTCTTTAAAAGTCCCTTATGTTTTATTTATTTATTTATCTATTTATTTATTATTTACAGTTTTTCTATCAAAATTAGATAACCAGATAATATAATCTCTGTGACCTTCTGCTATTTCTAGCCTAGAATAGTATGAGAACGGCTGAACTCTTCAGAGTTACCCCATCCTTAAAAACAGGCCTTTGCCGCCAATGATGTATATGTCATTGTTTGCCTCGTTTTACATTTTATTTTTGCCAGGCCTAGGCACTGACAAGAGCAAACCACACCGGAAAGTCCCGAGGAACTTTCTCGGCCAACACTGGGAGAGAACGCGAGACCTCCTGGTTAGCGAACCAGTACCATACTCACTGAGCCAACGTGGCCCTTTGACAAGTCGTAGACCGGGGATTTGCTTTTATTAGGCAAGTGGGTCTATTGGATATAGGCATTAATAGTATAGAACCAAATAAATGTATTTATAGGCCTGAGCCATTACGGCAGCAAACGGAAAGAAAAGAACGGACAAAGTTGAAAGTTGTGGTTACATTGCTTAGTAGTTGTAGTATTTTAAGGAATTAGATTAATGAAGAAACATAAATACAAACTAGAGATCAATGAATACTTTAAAGTAAAAAATGTCTGAATTTAAACCCAAAAAAGAGATAAAACATCAATGACGAATATGACGATTATTAATTTCATACAAAAAAAAAGAAAGACATATAAGCGAATATTTATTGTAGCACAAATTAGAAATTTCCTTGATTCTGATGGGTCGTAAAGTGTATTCGAATGGACAATAAACCCCTTCTAAATTATCAAGGCGAATTACTTTTTTCATTTTTGTACTCAATGATCTTCCTCAACTCAAACCTTTATTGGCAAATATCTTCAAGAAATTCTGCACCATTTTCATACATCATCTTTAACGTTTCTGAAATACACAAAACAGTAGAAAATCAGTCATAAATTAATTAAAACCGTTTTCAGGTATCCAAATATATTCGTAAGTAGGCAGTGACAGTATGGACAATTTTGTTTTCTTTTTTGGTAGGCTAGCTTCACTCTCCAATTTTTATACGCCCACATTTTCATGTGGACGTATATTGTCGTCGCCCCTGTCCACAATTGTTTGTGAACACTCTACAGGTCACAATTTTTATCCAATTTCATTGAAACTTGAAATATAGGTTTATCACCCTAAGTTCCTGGTTCCTTTCGATAATGGCATGTATCGGACTGTAACTTCACGGATTATGGCCTTTGATTGTACGAAAAATCGCGTTTTTAGCTTGTGGACACTGTAGAGTTCACAATTTTTACCCGATTTGGTTTAACCTTGAAATGTATGTTTATAACCCACAGATCGCGGTGCCGTTCGATATTCGCGCATATCGGACCATAACTTCCTGAATTATGGCCACTGATTGTACGAAAAATTGCGTTTTTAGCTTGTGTACCCCATAGAGGTCACACATTTTATCCGAGTTAAAACACCGTTACAATCCCTAAGGATGGTTAAGTTCGAATTTTGTAAATATCGGACCGAAACTGACGGACAAAATGACTGCACCTCGTTCGCAAATAGTGTCAAAATATTGTGTATCAGGATTGTGGACCCTCTGGAGGTCACAATGTTCATCTGATTTTGATGAAACTTGAAATGCATGTTTTGTTTATAACCCACAGATCTCGGTTCCTTTCGATATTCGCGCATATCGGACCATAACTTCCTGAATTATGGCCCCTGATAGTACGAAAAAATCGCGTTTTTAGCTTGTGGCCCCATTTAAAAAACCGTGTGAATATATCACCGTTACACCCTAAGGATGATGAAACTTGAAATGCATGTTTATAAACCAAATATCTGGGTTCCTTTCTATTTTCGTACATATCGAATCATAACTTCCTGAATTATGGGCCCCTGACTGTACGAAAAATCGCGTTTTTAGCTTGTGGTCCATCTAGAGATCACAAGTATTATCCGATTTTATAAAAAGACCTTTACACCCTAAGGGTGGTTGAGTTCGAATTTCATGAAAATCAGACCAAAACTGTCGGACAAAATGGCCGTCCCTCGTAAGCAATAAGTGTAAATATCTGGTATATCAAAGCTGTGGACCCCCTAGAGGCAACAATTTGGATCCGATTTCAATGAAACTTGAAATACATATTTGTAACCCAAAGATATTTGTTCCTTTTGATATTCGCGCATATGGGATCGTAACTTCCTGAATTATGGCTCTTGATTGAACAAATAATCATGCTTTAGCTTGTGGTCCCTGTAGAGATCACAATTTTTATCCGATTAAAAAAAAAACGTGTGAATATATCACCATTACACACTAAGATATTGGTTCCGTTTGATAATCGTGGATACCCGAATTTAACTGCCTCGATTATGGCCCCTGAATGGATTGTTCGAAAAATCGCATTTTTAGCTTGCGGATTCTCTAGCTTGTGGTCCCTGTAGAGGTCACAATTTTTATCCGATTAAAAAAAAAAAACGTGTGAATATATCACCATTACACACTAAGATATTGGTTCCGTTTGATAATCGTGGATACCCGAACTTAACTGCCTGGATTATGGCCCCGGAATGGATTGTTCGAAAAATCGCATTTTTAGCTTGCGGATTCTCTAGATGTCACAATTTTTTCCGATTTTAAAAAATGTTTAAATACATTACCATTCCACCATAATGAAGGTTGAATTCGTATTTCGGGAAAATCGAAATAAAACTGCCCGACAAAATGGCCGCTCTTTGTACGCATATTGTGTAGAAGTGTGTAATACAGAGGTTGTGGACCCTCTAGAAGTCACAATCTTTATCCGATTTTGATGAAACTTAAAACATATCTTTATATCCCAAAGATCTCTGTCCCTTTTGATATTTGCACATTTCATGCTATAACTTTCTGGATTATTGTTTTTAGCTTGTTCTCTATCCATATCTCGCAAAATGTGGGCGTATCCTGCCTGGCAGCCGTTGGTTACTTAATCAGGTGGATTTGTTTTAAAATCACGCTTTGATCAAAGTCAGACTAGCATAAGTAATTAGTTACAAGAAGTCGATTGTAAATATAATGAGGGAGTTGAAAATAGTAGCTGAAATATAGGCCTAATCATTGTTCCAAAATTGACATTTTGTTGACAACACGTCAGAACACTATACATACCAACCGCTAGAATGTTAGCTGTCATAGTTTTGTAAGGTATTTTTAAGGATGTAAGTACGAACTGCAATTGTGTGAACAAGAACTAGCTACAAAATTGTGATAACAGGCTGCAGATAAAGTAATAAAGGTTGGAAACTTTACATGGAGCACCCGAAGCAAAGTCATCTTTTTCGCCAATCACGACTAACTCTATCGTATCAACCCCCAGCAATAAGACTAATTTCCTGTTCATTTAAAAATCTTCAAACGTTAAAAATGTTTTTTTGTCGATATCTAAATAACACTTTCTTTCATAATTCATTTACCAGCAACTCGAGACTTTAAATTTGCAGAAAAGCAAGGACGGGCTAATTCTATTGAGAATATTTTGAAAATGAACGCAAGCACGTCGCCAAATAACGACTTTTTAAAATGGGTGTAAAAATGTTTCCTAAATAGTTCCGAAGAAAATCCCTAAATATTTGAGCTGTTAGTGTTTATCTCCTAAATGTATTAAGTGAATAGAAGACATGTCTTTAAATGGTATTTAAAATAGACGCCTTCTCGTATTATCAGCACATAGTTTTTCTTCGTTTCGTTGTGATTTTTTCCCTTAGTTCTAATTTTTACTTGTCCATCATGTATATTCTGGTGGTTAATTACCTGCAATGAACAGCTTAACGTTTAGTCTGGATACACTTTATCATGGTTTCAGCAATTTGTCATGCGAACACATAATAAACTGATTTACATAAATGTCCATAAGATGGTCAATAAAGAGATCACATACTTCATGGATGCTATCGAACACTGTGGTTTTCCCGACAACAAAAATGTTTGCTACTGTTTTATTTTCTCCTGTTAATGTTAACCAACAAACGGCGATGTCAACATTCGTCTGTACAGCCATTAGCTAAGGACTTGGCTGTTAAGGAATTGTCTTATCCTTGGGCGGTAAGATATTAGACTATCCATTATGAAATAGCAAAACCGAATGGTCATATTTGTGATAACATTTTAAAGTATCTCCTGATATTTACTTAGTTAAAACTCGCGCGAACGCATAGTAAACTTAGTATTACACTTTTCATACAAGCCATTTTGCATACATCCACGAATAAATGCTGTGCATGCGAACAGGGCTATAGTGCACTAGTAGGTAATTTATATCTATTTGTTTTATAGGCATCAACATCACCACAAGCTGGGAAACCAAACCATATATCGCCCGCTACAAAAATTGGGGCAAACAGTGTACTAACAGATATTTCAATTTTCCATGTAGTGGAAAGCGAAAGCGTGGTATCTGTATTTTTGGAATAGGTGATTTACCTCGTCTCACTTCACGAATGGAACTATTTGCCAACAAATTTTATTGGGATTATCAATCGCTAACTTTCGACTGCATTGAAGAATGGCACAGAAAAATGATCGAAAACGAATATAATTCTACATATGGCGTTCCGTTTAATACGAGTTATTATGAAACAATGCCTTACTTAAAGGAAGTGATTTAAAATTAAACGAACTACACACCCTTTGATATTTATTAAGGTTCCTTAAAGATGTATTATGTAAGAGCTGAATCTGCCTATTATAGGTCTTTACTTTGGCTTCAAATGTTATCTAAACTAAACTATTATTATTTGTTTACATGCCAAGCCCATACTCAACTCTCTAGAACACCAGATGGCCGAGATAAAAATGGATCAGAACAACCGCTAGATTTTCAAATTTAACGATGCAATGGATAATCGAGACAGTCTCGATTATCAAATACATTTGCTACGATAATATTCATACATTCATTATGTATTTTTGAACTTTTACAGAAAGAACGACCAGATCTTAACCAATAACCAAATCTTACATAACGCATCTTTACTATTCATCCTGCACTTACTTTTCGTCTTTTCAATTAAATAGGCTAAACCTCTTTTAAGATAAAACAAAGCAGTGAGTTTGAATGATATGTTGCGTTTTTTTTATTTTAGTGATGGGAGATTACCTTTTAGTTTCTAAATATTAAGCGGTGGTCGGCTTGTTTGCTAATATTACTTATATATGTCGACAGTGGGACACAAAATCGGTTATATCTCAGAACTGGCTTTGTGTATAGACGTAAAATTAAATTTGTAACCAAGACAGATTGTCAGTCCAAACTACAAATAAACCTATATACGACAATATAACCTCATCCGTTTAAACTTATATCATTATGTTACCCATATCGAAAAGTGAAACAACAAAAAGAGCTAATTAGATAGAAGGTAATTTTCAAGATTCAATTATATTATTCTGGATTTAGTTTGATGATACGAAACAATACTTCCTAAATACAAAACAATACTTCCTAAATACAAACTGAAACCGATTTTGTTTCCTTAACAATACCGGACGGATCTAGATAATATTTCTTTTATGTGCAAAAGTGTAAATTTCTATAAATCCTTGATGTAAGACTATTATTGAATTTTTGCTCTTTAAATTAATAGCATTATATTAACTATATGGCTTTGACTAATTATTGGTTTCAAATTATAGAGAAGTCATATCTGATGCTCTCAAATGAATGAGTAAGTGGTTGAGAACGACATCTTAAAGTAGGTAAGTCTCTAACTCAATAGCATCCAAAGTCTTCGACATTGAAAACATGAATTATTTGTCAATTTAAATCAACATTGAGTGTTGTGATCTTACCGGGAAAAGATGGGCTTCTGATATCCAATATTTTACCATTGGTACAGTGCTATTTGTAACAAGGGACGTTATGTCA